CCCCCCGAGCCACACTCGGGCATCTTCCAGGTTCCTTCCCTGCGAGCGCCGGCATTGCTCGGGGGCGGAACCGGCGAGAAATTCTAAAGTAACAAATAGAGAAGAAAAAATGCCGAGATAATCCGCCAGGGAGGTTAATGCAATGCAGTGATTGGACAAGTGCCGATGACGCCAGTCCTCAACTCGCTCCGTGATTGGACAAGTGCCGATGACGCCAGTCCTCAACTCGCTCCGTGAATGGATAAGTGCCGATGACGCCAGTCCTCAACTCCCTCCGTGATTGGACAAGTGCCGATGACGCCAGTCCTCAACTCCCTCCGTGATTGGACAAGTGCCGATGACGCCGGTCCTCGCTCCGTGATTGGACAAGTGCCGATGACGCCGGGCTCCGTGATTGGACAAGTGCCGATGACGCCGGTCCTCACCTCGCTCCGTGATTGGACAAGAGCCGATGACGGAGCTCCTCACCCACCTATCCTAACCCCATACTATGTCCATCCTCCAATACCCCCAACCCCATACCATGCCCATCCTCCAATACCCCCCAACCCCATACTATGTCCATCCTGCAATACCCCCAACCCCATACTATGTCCATCCTCCAATACCCCCAACCCCATACTATGTCCATCGCCCAATACCCCCAACCCCATACTATGTCCATCCTCCAATACCCCCAACCCCATACTATGTCCATCCTCCAATACCCCCAACCCCATACTATGTCCATCCTGCAATACCCCCAACCCCATACTATGTCCATCCTGCAATACCCCCAACCCCATACTATGTCCATCCCCCAATACCCCCAACCCCATACTATGTCCATCCTCCAATACCCCCAACCCCATACTATGTCCATCCTCCAATACCCCCAACCCCATACTATGTCCATCCTCCAATACCCCCAACCCCATACTATGTCCATCCTCCAATACCCCCAACCCCATACTATGTCCATCCTCCAATACCCCCAACCCCATACTATGTCCATCCTCCAATACCCCCAACCCCATACTATGTCCATCCTCCAATACCCCCAACCCCATACTATGTCCATCCTCCAATACCCCCAACCCCATACTATGTCCATCCTCCAATACCCCCAACCCCATACTATGTCCATCCTCCAATACCCCCAACCCCATACTATGTCCATCCTCCAATACCCCCAACCCCATACTATGTCCATCCTCCAATACCCCCAACCCCATACTATGTCCATCCTCCAATACCCCCAACCCCATACTATGTCCATCCTCCAATACCCCCAACCCCATACTATGTCCATCCTCCAATACCCCCAACCCCATACTATGTCCATCCTCCAATACCCCCAACCCCATACTATGTCCATCCTCCAATACCCCCAACCCCATACTATGTCCATCCTCCAATACCCCCAACCCCATACTATGTCCATCCTCCAATACCCCCAACCCCATACTATGTCCATCCTCCAATACCCCCAACCCCATACTATGTCCATCCTCCAATACCCCCAACCCCATACTATGTCCATCCTCCAATACCCCCAACCCCATACTATGTCCATCCTCCAATACCCCCAACCCCATACTATGTCCATCCTCCAATACCCCCAACCCCATACTATGTCCATCCTCCAATACCCCCAACCCCATACTATGTCCATCCTCCAATACCCCCAACCCCATACTATGTCCATCCTCCAATACCCCCAACCCCATACTATGTCCATCCTCCAATACCCCCAACCCCATACTATGTCCATCCTCCAATACCCCCAACCCCATACTATGTCCATCCTCCAATACCCCCAACCCCATACTATGTCCATCCTCCAATACCCCCAACCCCATACTATGTCCATCCTCCAATACCCCCAACCCCATACTATGTCCATCCTCCAATACCCCCAACCCCATACTATGTCCATCCTCCAATACCCCCAACCCCATACTATGTCCATCCTCCAATACCCCCAACCCCATACTATGTCCATCCTCCAATACCCCCAACCCCATACTATGTCCATCCTCCAATACCCCCAACCCCATACTATGTCCATCCTCCAATACCCCCAACCCCATACTATGTCCATCCTCCAATACCCCCAACCCCATACTATGTCCATCCTCCAATACCCCCAACCCCATACTATGTCTATTCCACAATAAAAGCTTTCTTTCAGTTTGTAAACTTCTTTTGAATGTACATTGATCTGCGTGTGAGTGTTAATATTGGAAACGATCTATAGATGGCCTCCCTGTGAAGTGGATTTTTGGGCCAGTCACTGTTCAGCATATACCAATAAGGAATCAAAGACAAATTATTTTTAAAGATTCTTTAATAATTCTGAAGAAAATTACAATTTGCATAAAAAAATTCTAAAAACACCAACATTCTGCGACCAACAACGTGGTATAAAGATGCCAAAGAAACCTTAGATAAGAAGTCCAGGGAGCCCTTCCAGCCAACGGCCATCAGAGTTCTGTCCTCCATGAGGCGACCTTCTCCGGTCACATGGCAACGCTCCCTGAAGGATGCCAGATATGTATGTACACAGGGCAAGCACTCATCCAATATATACAGACACACCAATTGTACATCAGTGCACAAGCCAATATGGGAGGCCAGACAATACACACATCTATATGGCCCAGTACGGCGCTCCCGTCACACAGACCACAACGGTTTCCTCTCCATCGTGCCAACACGCAGCAATCTCCAATATCGCCGAGCTTCACAGAGAAGGCAGCGCAGGGGGAGGAGCAGAAAGGCACATGGGAGGAGCACACAGAACAGCAAAGGGAGTGTACAGGGGCAGAGCAGCAGGGGAATAAAACAAGACAGCAAGGGCCTGAGCATCATAGGGGAGCGGAGATACTGCAACATGTTAGGTGCACATCATGGACAGCCTGCAACATGTTAGGTGCACATCATGGACAGCCTGCAACATGTTAGGTGCACATCATGGACAGCCTGCAACATGTTAGGTGCACATCATGGACTGCCTGCAACATGTTAGGTGCACATCATGGACTGCCTGCAAGAAAGAAAAGATCAATAGGCATTCAGTGATCACATCTATCCCCGATATCATAGCATGCATTGCCCCTGAGGAGGAATGGCCGGGTCCGGCAAACACTGAACACACAATCTTACCGGTCTCCTCCGATGTGGCTGCACTCATCTTCCATGTCCTCCTCCAGATCCATATCCAACTCTGAACCAAAGTCAGCCCGCTTATAGGAGTATCCACTGGAAGGGGGAGCCAGGCAACCAGGAGCACATGATGGGAGACAGACGGGAAGGAAGGCACACGTGATTAGTACAATACCAGAACAAGTATTATCTGACCAGCACCCCCAGGGACTATGAAAGAAGAAGTCCAGTGATGTCACCTGATAGAGCGGCACGTAAAGAAGACAATTCTTTTCAGCTTCTTGTTGTAGAAGAAATAGTTAAAGGACCACAAACTTCCGTCCTCCCCAAACGGATCACAGTCTAGATCTGGATTATAACTGCAATGACAAAGATCATGCCAGGCTTCATCAGAGCGATAGACATTTCCCGCACAGCGATAGACATTTCCCGCACAGCGATAGACATAACGTAACATTCCCCCCAAACATATCACTATTCCCATTCACCATCATGACATCACTTCCTGTTCCCCGTGTGACATCACTCCCAATGAAAGGACATTATGGGGAGTATAAAAATCCTTTTCACATCTATTGAGGGACATGAAGTCATTCACCTTCAGAAAATCCAGAAGTCGTCAAATTGCGGCATTTTCTGCCCCTGAAACACTAACAAGGCCAAGAAAACTACTGCAAGCCTTTGCCTGCCTGCTGCCCAATGTGCCGGCCAATGACCTTAGACATCAGATGAGACCGGAACATCCATCATCCTTCTGGCGGGCCCAGGAAGAGTCCACCAAGGCCCAGCAGGGAAGGAAACCAATCCACGTGGCTGCTGCAGCGGCTGTGAGAAGCGAAGAGAAACTTCCTGAAAGTACTTTTCTCTCAGAACAGAGGGAACGAGTCCAAAACCTGAAGATACTAGCCAAAAACAGAGGCATGGTGGGAGGGGTCCTAACAGCTTTTATTTGCCACTCTCCAATCACCTTAACGTAGCTGCCTAACCCATTGGTGCCTGAAATAACTCCCTGTGTCCTGTGATGGAGGAGGAAGAAATGGTGCAGAAACAGGCTAGTCTGCACACAGCAAATGCTGCGAGGGGGAGGGGTTATCCTGGGCTGGTCTACAGGGGGAGGGGTTATCCTGGGCTGGTCTACAGGGGGAGGGGTTATCCGGGGCTGGTCTACAGGGGGAGGGGTTATCCGGGGCTGGTCTACAGGGGGAGGGGTTATCCGGGGCTGGTCTACAGGGGGAGGGGTT